TTCATCGTCATGGACGCCAAGTCGCCGAAGCTCGAGATTATCGCTGTCGTGAAGTTGCCGCGGCGGGTCTCTTACGGCTTCCACGGATTGTTTGTGAAAGAAAGTGATCTCAGAAAGCTATGAAATGAAATTAACCAACAATAATTTTAGGCCGAACCGGACCGTTCGAGTCGGTTCTCCGCTTAGATGGGGCACCATGAAGTAGATTTTGTATACCCATCTTCTTATATATATATATATAGTCTTAGACCATTTCACAAATTATTTTTATTATTTTAGAATTTGTAATTGTAAAAATTATTGGTAAGTTTTAAGAGGTTTTATTATAATCATAAAGTGGTATTTTTGTTGCTTCTTGCACCCGTCAACCTATCACTGTCGTTCTCGGCTAGGGCCATAGTGATGTAGCGCTTCAAGTGCGTGCGCCTATGCGCCTATGCCACACTTGTCTAGGTCCTTGCGTAGTTGGATGGGGCCACTCGAGGGTCGCCAGTTCCTTTGTGACAACATGAAAGTCACACCCTACTCTCTTTACAGAAAAACTTCTCATTTTTGTACTAAGATCTCATTTTTCTTCTTTTCTTCTATCACTATAGTGAACGAGTATTTTGTTGAGTCTTAAAGTACTAATTATTATGAGGCTTATTCATGTCGGGATATGTCGAGGCTTTAACGGGACTATATATGCACATCTACTTCTCATATAAAAATTGTTCCTTCAGATACAGAAAGAACTCCTAAATTGAATTCATGAACCTCTATGCAAACTTTTTCCATATATTATCTATTCAAGAGTCAGAAAAGCAATGCAGGGGGGAGGGGAGTCAAATTAGTAGTGTCTACCAAAATTTCTGAAGTCTGCTTCTTCTAAACCCTCAGTATCTGTGTGTTTCATTGGCAAACGACGAAGAAACATCCTCTCGAGATTGCGATCATCTACACTTTGAAGCCTGCTTCTTCTAAACCTTCACCATGTGTGTTTCAGCCGACGTCAATGACAGATCCTCTCGAGATTGCGAACGTCTACTTTGAAGGCGCATCTGACTACGACGTGGGGTCCAGAACGAACCGACGCTGTTATTGTCAAATTGCATTTGGCCAAGACTATTTGAAGAATAGCTATGCGAGACCATACTGCTGGATGACCGGTGCAAGGATGTCTCCATAAGTTGGATGCCGCTACTGCTGCCAAAGCCATGTCCTAAGCCGAAGGGTCTTTCTTGAGAGCCTTTAACTGTTGGACTCAGTGGCATCTTCACTCTGCCATCCCCTGTCACACCATGTTTGACATTGCATTCATCATACTTCATACCAAAAAGAAGCTATCTTACAGAAAAAGCAGTCGATATAACTAGATTAGATCCGAAACAATTTTATATACTTGTACAGATGTGCGAACGACCGAGTTTTTTTCAAGCTTTGAATGGTGCTTAAAATGATATTTGGTTTGAGGATAGATAAAAATGCATCTTCTACTTGTTGCACAAGCCTAGTATTTTACAATGATGCAGAAAATGCATTCAAAAGTGTACGACCCTAAGACAAGTTATAAAACAACAATGGAGATTCAAACTTTTGATCTTTTTAGTTGATGGTATAATGCCTTTCTTCCACAAGATCAGATGAAGATATATCGATCCACAGAAAATGTCACGATGACAACAACAAAGCTATGAGAATATGCATTCAGACCAAAAACTATTCTAGTAGATGAAATCTTCATGCATGAAAGGTTCCTCCATAAAACGAAATTTTAACATCCCATCAAATCAAAGATTGGCTTAACACATTCACATTGCTCATGCGACTAAGATATTTCATGTTAGACAAGCTCAACAAGAAGATCCACATACAAATATTAGAACACGGTCAGATATTGCAATGTAAAAACATAAGATATTACAGGTGTAGAAACGTACCAGAACTCATTGGACTCCACCGCTGTAACCGAAAAGGAGATGGAATGTTTAGAACAGATGTGGTAGAGACAGTACTATGCCGGAAAATTGGGAGATAGGGTCTCCGAAAAAATCTAGGTATTGCACTACCTACACAGGATAATGCAAAAAGCAGGAAAAACAATGACGTGAACAAAACGACGATAAGAATTAGAGGATCTATCTTCATTTTAAAAATTTTATAACCATGGAGCTGTAGCCTGGTTGTAACTGCAGACGTTTTCCCCGCCTCCAACAGCGAAACCCCGAGAGTCCAAGTTGTACTCCCCGAACCAATAATAATTTGTTTATCAGTAATATGCAACCCCTCTCTAAGGAGCGAGACTACATATGGTGCCCTAAAGCAGTATTGCTCAATAAAGGGCTGTGGAGCAACACTAGCCCGTGCAACTTCCCAAGGTTTCTCACAAAATTTGCGACCCTTTTCTAATACATCATCAAGTGTAGCCTCTGAAGTCAGATTGAAAAATCGAAACACCACGAAGAAACCAGAAATGGCATAAAAATTCCCATATGGTGGAGGGTAGTCATTAGTTATGGCACATGGTTGCACATCACAATCTAGTCCAGTGCTCGTATTTGACCATTCGGAAAAATTTACTGCAACTTTAGCAAGTGCAGAACATTCTTCCCAATTCGGAGCACCAATCAGCCTTAGAGAAATTCCTGAATTACCTCCTCTACCCAACAATTTTCCACACTGGTTACAGGTATACTTCTCATTGTACCCAGAATGCAGGCAAGGGTGGTTAAGCTTAAATTTAGACAGGTCTAGCTTTTCATGTTCTTGAATCCTTCTTAATAGATGGACAACAGACTTCCCAAATGCATCATTTAAACCATAGCCGGTAAGCGAATAAGCATTAAGATGATAATCAACATTTCCAATTCTAATGTTCAAACTCGACTCATTTCGTTCCTTGCTTTCAAAAGTTACTTGCAAGGAAGACCCTCCCAAATCAAGTGCCCCATATGTTAGTTCCCTTGGTTTAACCCCCAACAATTGTTTTTGATAGTTAAGGGCAATCCATCCATAGTAAGCCTCTTCTGTACCTGTAATGGTTTTAACCCATTCTCTCTGGCAAAGAAAGCGTGAACTCTTTAATATAGACCAAGCATTGTCCAGAATCCATTTCGAATCTGCAGGTGGTAGTTTTCTAACTCCAGCGGTCGCATAGAGGAAAAGAGAAGTGCTTTCATGGGCACGCTTAGGAATCTGCTTCTCAGCCCAATGAAGCAGAGGTTTAATTGCTTTCTTCAAACCAGTCACATTACGAACCAACTTATCAAGCCCTGGTTCTGTTTCCATTCGATCATAAGCCCGTCCGCTCTGAGACTTCGATTTCTTCTTCTGTCCTGTATATGACCTGATGGCAAAGGGAAGGGCTCCATCTTTCTTATAATTAATATTTGCTTGATATACATAAGCTCGAGTGCCAGTACTTCCACAGTCAAGCACCACAAAGTATCTTGGTGTTCCTTGAGACCAATATGAATAAATATACATAGAAACCGTATAAATTAGAAAACAAACGAGCAAAAGACACAGAAAAAGAACAATTGTTCGCACCAACTTCTTGATCGGCCACCGGGAGGAGCCTCCAGGCAATGCCTTCTCCTTCGAGAAACTAGAGCCAGCATTCTCTCGCTGGAGCGGTCTAAAATCAGAAGCTGCATTCCCAAGTCCATGATTACCCTCTTCGAGATCAAGTCTACGGTAAGCAGAGAGATCCTGAAGAGACGATGAAAGCCTTATATTGTTCTTAAGCGCAGGACTTGAAAATCCAGCAACAAGAGGAGGCGAAGAATCGATCAACGGAGGCGACGATGATTTAAACGCATCCGTAGAAGACTGTCGGCCCGACAAACGACTGGCTACAGACGAGAAAACATCCCTAAATCTACCCAACACCATTTTTCTCTGATTCGGCACAGAACTTCAATAATTCCTCAGAAACGCACCAAAATCCTTCATTATAACAACTGAATTGCGTAACTCTAGATCACAGTGATCCCCAAAAACCACAGTAGAGAGAGTGTGTGTGGGGATATTAAAATTGAAGTTCGTCCGCGGATTGACTAGAGGGATCGATTAAAAAACATGGCGAGAAATCACGGTACAGAAGTGCATTGAACAGAATGAATGGGAGAGAGAATTTAGGTTTAAGGATTAAGACTGACCTGAAGAACAGATTATGAATTAAGATTACATCGAAAATGGCAGTTTGGAGTGAGAGAATTACAGTTTCTCCTTTTTCTTCGCCGCTTTCTGGTCTCAATCTCATCAGACGATCAGATTCAGATCCACCTTCAGCGACAACCTACTCTGCCAGCAAGTGCCATCGGACCAAACCCCTCTTCCTCTTCCTCCCTCTTTCTCTATTTTTCTTTTTAATTAAATTTTAATTTCACTTGTATTTTCCCTTTCCACTCTTCATTAAAAATATATATATATATTAAAATCTAAATATTTTTCAGCTAAATTATGTATATATAATATTTTTTCAGACTTTTTATAAATATTTCAAAATTATCTATACAATATTAACCTATTGAACAAAAATATGGTAATTATTTAAATTTATATGTCGGTGATATAATATTTTTTAAATTAAGTTTGAAATAATGATATAGTGACATTTTATTCTAACATTCTTGGTATAATCTAGAGGTATTTTCTAGAATTTAATTTAATTTTTTTCTTACCATAAATATGAATTTTTATTAAAATAAAATTAATTAATCATTAGTTTCAATTTAAACTTTTGTTTTTTTTTTCATAACGGGTTTGGGCATGATGATCCAATTAATATATATATATATATATTTTGTTGGGTTGCTCCAATTTTACGTATTTTTAAATAAAAAGTTTAAAATATCTATTTTAATCGAGATTAATAGAAAATATTAAACTAAATAATCAAATAGAAACTAAATTAAATGGTCGAGAAAATTATGATATGATATGATATATACTTGTTGGGATCATAGAAGGCTAAAACTCTTTGACTTGGGGTGATACACCAAAACCAAAAACAAATTACAAAAACATATAATTTTACCAAAAAAAGAAAAAAAACCCTAAGATTTTCATCTCAATCTGACCCTATGAAGAGCCAAATACGCAATCAAGCGGTAACCCACCAACATGAGCGCCATAATACAGACACAAACCCACAGCCCATCCAACCCGACAGATTTAACGGCCGGGAAATCCGCCACCCGACAAAGCTCCCCATTCCGACACTCGTAAACGTCGTCGTTTTGATACTGCACGCCCAAGAGCAGCTTGTAGCAGTAGTAGCTGTAGCTGAGGTACTTCATCCAGAGGATGAAGGGGGGGATTTGTTGGATGTAGTAGCCGCCGGCGATGAGGAAGACGAGGGTGGTGACGGAGGCGAGAGTGGTGGCTTGCTTGACGTCCATGAGGATGGCGCCGAAGGCCAAGCCGAGGCTTTGGGAGACGAGGACGCTGTAGAGGACGATGAGGAGGGAGAGGAGGAAGGTGGGTGGGTGGGGGTTGAGGCCTCCCATGAAGTAGATTATGAATACGAAGGCTGTGGGGAGGGCCAGCTCTAATGGGAGGTCGCCCACTGTGCGCGCTAGAAAGTAGGAGGAGAGACGGTACATGCCGGATGAGCGCTCCTTTATTAGCATGCTGCGCTCTTGTGGGAATGTGAACACTGCGTTGTAGAGTGGGTAGAACCCCCAAAATACTGAGAAGAAGAACAGCAACGCTATCTGAAAATGTCAAAATCAACCATTGTCATAAGAAATGGAGATTATATTTTCAATTCTCGTTTCTGACTCATGTAAATTTTGATTTCGCTCATAATTTTCAAATATTGAAAAGGGTTTAATGAGATGGGGGCCGTCCAAATTTCGATTTTGTTCACGATCTTCAAATATTGAAAAAAGTTTAGAGAGAGATGAGAGCGGAGATGGAGACTATATTCTCAATTCCAGTCTACGACCCCATTTAAATCTCGGGTTCGGTCATGATTTTCAAATCTTGAAGAAGGCTTAGAGAGAGATGGGGTTGGAGACGGAGATTATATTTTCAGTCTCAGTCTCCAACTCCATCCAAATCCCGATTTCGTTTACAATCTTCAAATATTGAAAAAGGGTTTAGAGAGTGACGGGGTCGGAGACGGGGACTAAGAATATAATCTCCATCTCTAACCCCTTCCAAATCCCGATTTCGTTCACGATAATCAAATACTGAAAAGGATTTAGAGAGAGATGGGGTTAGAGACTGGGACTAAAAATATAATCTCCGTCTCCGACTCCATCCAAATCTTGATTTCGTTAACAATATTCAAATATTGAAAAGGGTTTAGAGAGATGAGGTGGGAGACGGTAATTATATTCTCCGTCCCTATTCAAATCTCGGGTTCGAATCTGGATGTTCAAAGGGTTTAGAGAGAGAAGAGATAAGAAAGAGATTCTTACGCGATCTTCAATGTGAGAGGATGGAGTGTGCCACCAAAGGAGTCCACCAAGAAAAGCAACGCTAATGACTTGAAAAATCCTCAGCCGATTGAAGGCGTCATATCGTCTCTCCTTCAGCCCTCTCTGCAACAGCACTCTGAATTGATACCACCAGCTGGTGCACCACTCCTCTGTGCATCTCCTTTCTCTCTCTACACCCACACCACACCACACCATCCACCAATTAATCATCATTCGAATCCAATTCCTCTCTCAAATCATTCATTTTCCTTAAAATCTCTGTTCATTATCCAATTCCATTCCTGTTTTCTATACTTTTTTTTCAATGGGTTTCGTTAAAAATGAAATCTTTTTTGCTTTTGATCCATCTTACTTCAGTTAAACCAGAAAAAATGTGTTTTTGAATGAGTGGGATTATTACTTGAGGCATCTTTTGCATAGTTGGTGAAGCTATTGGCATCCAAACTGCAAAGCTCAGCCTTCAAAGTGGAGGAAATGTTCTTGTCATAAGCTGAAATTAGTGCTTCCTTCACTCCCTTTTGTTCTTCTTCTATGTTCTCTCCTCCTTCATTTGCATACTTTGAATCAGGGGCTATTCCTGCCATTCAAAAAAGTTTTAAGCATTGTGTAATAGTTCAAGCCCACGATCTATATTTGCATCAATACGTGTAACAGTCTAAGCTCACAATCTATATTTATAAAGAATGTTTCATTCTCTTCCCTAACCGACGTGGGATCTCACAATCCACTCACTTCAAGGCCCAGCGTCCTCACTACCACTCATTCCCTTCTCAAATTGATGTGGGACTCCCAATCCACTCCCTTTCGGTCTAATATCTCGCTGACACTCGTTCCCTTCTCTAATCGATATAGGACCCAATCCACCCCTTTGGGGCCCAACTTCCTCATTGACACTCGTTCTTTTCTCTCATTGATGTGGACCCCTCAATCCACCCCTTTCATAGCACACTCCCTAGTGTCCACCCCTTTCAGAGCTCAGCTACTCACCCAGTTTTTAGTTATGGTACTATTTGTAACCGCCCAAGCCTACCACTAGCAGATATTCTCCTCCTTGAGCTTTCATTTTCGAGTTTCCTCTCAAAATTTTGGACAAGTTTTCACTTTCTTATAATAAAGGTTCCTTTTTCCCCTTTTTCCCCTCCCTATGTGGGATCTCAGGGTATACCAAGACAAGCTGAGTGTATTAAAAAAAAGAAAAGATTAGCATACCATTTGCAAGATCAAGAAGGAGATCAGCTGGATTGATTGTAATGGAAGTTGAGAATCCAATGGAGGAGAAGTAATCCATGGCAGATGAAGCTGAGCCATAGTAGATAGGGCTGCCTTCCGACAGCAAAATAACCTTATCAAACATGTGGTAGAGGCGGCTCGACGGTTGGTGAATCGTCGTCACGACGGTCCGACCGCCACTCGCTAACCGTTTAATGGTGGTAAGAATTCTCATGGCAGTGGTCGAGTCCAAGCCGGAGGTAGGCTCATCCAGCAACAGCAAGCTCGGGTTAATCAGCATCTCTTGACCAATACTAACTCTTTTCTTCTCTCCGCCGGAGATTCCCCGGAAAAGTGGGCCACCGATCATACTATTGCGACACCGAGTCAGACCCAACTCGGAGATGACTCGCTCAACGGCTTGGGCTTTGTCGTCGGCGGTCAGGGAGGAAGGGAGGCGGAGAAGGGCAGTGAAGAGAAGGGTTTCAGCGACGGTTAAATGAGGGTACAAAACGTCATCTTGGGCAACAAACCCAGTCCGGCGCTTGGTGGCGCCGGAAAATGGCTGGCCGTTGTAAGTGATTTTACCGGAGAGTTTCCCGGATAAACGGCCGCCAAGAGCCGTCAAAAGGGTAGTTTTACCGCTGCCGGAAGGGCCAAGCATGGCAAGGATTTCGCCGGGTAAGACAACGCCACTAAGGCCATTGAGAATGGTTTTTTCTCTAGTAGCTTCCAACGAACCGCCGCCGCCGCCAAAGCAGCCGCCGCCTTTCCCTTGTAATTTCACTTTGTAAACGAGTTCTTCAAACTGTAAAATTAAATTAACCACTCCATGAAAATCCAATAAGCTTAAATTAAGAAAATTACAGAAATGAAAGGTAAAAAAAAAATGACCTTGAGAGTAACTGTGAGAAGGGGAAGCTGATGGTGGACATTATTGGTCTGGTAAGCAAGAACGGCGTCGTTCTGAGGATCAGACATTTCCTAGAAAGTTGGAAGAGCTTCAAATCTTGTTTGGCTTCTAAACTCTGTTGGATTTGTTGTTTCTTAACTCTGTTTCATAAGAACAGAGAATTGGGAAATGGGTTTTTTTTTTTTTTTTTTCTGTATTGAAAGCTGAGACTGCAAAGAATTAAATATATAGGGGAGAGGAGAGAGAGAGATGAGAGAGAGAGAGAAATTGAACACACACAAAAAAAAGCCTTTTTTTTTTTTCTGATTTTCTCTCTCCCCCTGATGGGATTCCACCATCTTTGCTTTGCCTTTCTCTTTTCTATTAGTTTATTCTCATATTTGCTTTCTTCACCATTCTTTATATTAACTCCTTTTAACCCTATTAGTAACGGTCGGGGTCGAGTTGGGTCGAGTTGCTTTGAAATACCCAACTATTAAGGGTCAAGTCCGGTTGGGTTGGGTCGAGTTGGTTTGAAATGACTTTTTTTTTAATGGTCAAATGTTATATTGATAGGTCTAGAAATATATGATTCGATTTTCTCTCTCTAAAGTTACATGCTTACCCCTCTATTAGTAAAGCTTACATTGCTGTTCTGAGTTCGGTTACATTTAAGGTATATTTATTATTGACTTTGAAAGACATGTTTCGTTGTCATTTTTTATAATGATAAAACTGATAATAACATATACTTGATGAGCTTAATTATTAAACAAGACATGAATTATCAGCTCAAAAGTCACCGTTTGACACATTTTGACTTTGATTCCTGTCTAAGACGAGGGACAGGCTGAACGTCTATTTTTCTTATTTAAAAAAAAACTATAGAAATTAATGATTATCAAACTCATGAAGAAAAAAGGGAATTCACTTGTTGTGATGCACTTAGTGTTTAAAAATTAGGATTAAACTTCATAAATCATAATCATCATTCATTTTGCCTTCCATTCATCTATTTTTTTATTCATTAATATCATCATTTTTCCAATAAACTTCATTCATTAACTAAAGCTCATCTTTGTGGATTCTTTGAAAGCTACCTACAAACCCATTTTCTCAATATAATATAATATCTTTTCGGGTAATATAGTTTTTTAGAAAAGTTGTCTCCCGTCGGTTGACTATTTTCGCCGATTAGAGACCAGATATCTTAGTAGCATATATATTATATTTGTGAGATCCCACGTCAGTTGAAGAGGAGAACAAAACATTCTTTATAAGGACATTTTAAAATCCTGAGATTGACAACGATACCTAATAGGCTAAAGCAACCAATAACCAATATCTGTTAACGATGGGCTTGAGTTATTACAAATGGTATCAGAGTGTGTCACCGAAGACATCAGACCACTCAAATCATTTTAAAATCTTGTATAATTTGAAATATGGTCGACTCAAATCAAAGCTACAATAATTCTTTTCATACTTTTTTTTTTTTTTTATGAATGTCATGTTACGAGCATATTAGATGGAACTAAACAGAGTTTCGATCACTAGCAATTCACAAATAAAATCTTTTAAGAGACATATTCGTAGTAAAAGATATATATATTAAATTTGGTCCACTCGTTAAAATTTAGTAAGGAGTAAGGAAAGAAGCAACATGACTCAGATTCCGACACATAAATATTTAAACACATGAAGAGGTTGGGGGAAGAATTTTTTAAATTTGACAATACAAAGAGGGGGCCTCTTGGGCGGTTGCCATGGCTTTACTTTTTGTTGCAGATAAACCCCTTTTTTTATGCCTTTTTTTTTTCTTTTTTCTTTTTTTAAAAAATTCCATTTATTTTACCAATTCCGATATAAAACATCAATTATTATCTCAGACGTTACACTACAAAAATGGCTAAAACAGACAATATTTGCTAATAATGAGCTTGAGTTATTATAAATTGTATCACATCCGACCTTGTGCCAGCCAGCACTGGTCCTAAAAAAAAGTAGAGGGTGAGATCTCACGTCTGTTAAAAAATTAATTTTTTTTAATAGTAATTTTATGAATTATTATTGGATTATATTTTCTTAAATTTTATTATCTCCCAAAAAAGTAGAAAGAATCATATTCACTAAACCAAATACAAGTCTCCAACCATGAAATATTTATGGAAATTTTTTTAAAATTAAAAAAAAAAAAAAAAAAAAAAAAAAAAAACATAAGAACCTTTTACTAGAATGAGATTCTTACAACTTTTAAGTTAAAAACCCAAATTTATTAAAATAAATATAAGCTTTCTAAGAAATTTAAAATAAAATATGATTTTATGACCATACGAAAAAATGGGACGATGCTGAGATTTCCTTTAGGTACAGACAAAATCTTTAACATATTTTAAAAATTGCATTTGTATTTTCACAATTTGTTTACAACGATGTTTATCTTTTCTATGACAAAATATTTGAATTGTTAGTCGAATTTTAGGGTAGGACATTTCGAGAGGACGAGTGATAGAAGTGAAAAAACATACTATACTTTCTTGAAGTGACAACAGAGCTCAAAACGGTTTGTCTCGAAAATGAGGGAGTAGGGGGAGAAACTTCCTTCACGTGGAAGGATCTATGGGCAAATTCCTTAATATTGAAGGATCTAGGCGCAAATTTCTTCATCTCGAAGTTTTGTGTGTTTTTCTTTTTCGGTCTCTTTTTAGGAAAAGAAATGACAATGCAAGAAGTGATGTATATATTTTGGGAGGAACTTTTTCATTAATCGAACTCTGGCTTACACCCGACTTATAGGCCTCAAAAAACAATCATCAATTACCGACCCATCTTAACATTTCATTACACAAAAACAAATTACAAAAACAAAAATAATTCAAATTTTCAATTTCTTCGAATCAAACAACATGCTAATTCATTTCATTTTTCAAACAAAAACGACATTATAAACTTTTCAAAGATACTATAAAAACAAAGTTCGATAGCAAAAGGAAATTAGGTTAGATATGAGTAGGCCGTGTTCGGAAGACACTTTAGAGTCTATGAGTAGAAGTTTCAACTAGCTATTACGATGGTCAAACATAGAATAAGATGTCGAATAAAAAATCACATGTAGTGCACGTGTCCAATTCTTATATATTTATTGACCCGAAAAAAAAAAATCAATGTCTTTAACATAAAATATACCTATCTATTAATTAGGGTTAGCTTTTATTTTTTTTTTGGGGCCATCTTTATATCATCAAAGAATAAATTTGAAAGGAACAAAACTTTGATTGGTGCATGGAATTAGGAGATCAATCAAAGTTGGAGTCAATTTGGTTATGGGGAGAGAGGAAAAGGGATAAAGGCATAGATTAATTGAATTCGATTGATATTAGTTACATCAGTCCCGACCACCTCGAAATATTCAACCTAAATCATAGATGCTGAATTAGATTAGATTGAAAAAAAAAATTGGGTTATGTTCAAATTTTGGAAAACCAAAACTTCGAGTTGGTTTGTGGGTTGATTTTTTTTTATTGGGTCAATCCGACCTATCTGAAAAATAGGGTTATAATTCAACCGTATTCTACCTACTTTTAAGATTATTACGAAAATTAAGAATATTTGATGTTTGTAAGTAATGTTAGTGACACACTATGACGGGTAAGTGTTTAATATTTAAGGTTTACGAGATATTAATTATTAACATAACATGTATTATGGATAAGGAGAATTTTTTTTAAATAATTAAAAAAAAAAAACAATAGACACTCCAAGTCAACCCAACCGGGGTTGGGGGTTGGGTTAGGTTGTGAACTCTATTCGAGTTGGTTGGGTTAAAATTTTAAGTTAGCTCAAAAGATTTTTCTAACCCAACGTTAATAAGGGTTAACTCCTACTTCGTTTAAATTATTTTATGCAAAATTAGGTCAGCCAATTAAGTTAATAGGGTTAACTTCTATGTCGTTTAAATTATTTGATGCAAAATTAGGTGAGTCAATGATTTTAATAGTTGAGACTAAGCCAACCAAATAACTGGTTCCGCCATTAGTTTGATGTGAACTGTGAACAAGACTTTCTCACCACAATTCCGCCCCAATTAATTTCTCATAACGTTTTGTTTAATTTTGCATATATTGGGGCTAGATTTTTCCCGAGAAATTAAACTAATCCTTATTTAGGATTACTATTTCCTCAATCTTGAATGAATCAAATTAAATTATTTTGTATATATATATATATATATTCGTGTGTGTATTAAATCTAGATAGAATAGGAACACGTTCATGTTTAGGTAACAGATAAAGAAGTCACCTTCAGCATTTCTCCCGTTTTTGACCTAAATAGTGATTCTCACCGAGTGGACGAAAAATGAGCAGCCCATCTATTTCAAAACAAAGCTTGTTGAGAGTACTTGTTGTTCGTGTTTCTTGTTTATACCGACTATTATTCCTTGTTTTCGGGTTGGCCACGAAAATTACATCTCCACCAACTTTGGCTTTTAAAATATGGTGATTGAACCTTCAATGAAATTTGGGAAACATTCAAAAGGCTGATGCTCTTAAAAGTAAAGTATAAAAACCTAACTTCCCATGCAAATTTTTCAAAAAAGAAAAAAGAATTTAACCAAATCTTAAAATATAAAATAATAATAATATTATTATTATTCTTTACAAAAATTTGTAAACCACGTGCCTTTTTCAAATAAGCATGTGTTTTTAAAAAATGAATAAATAAATAAAACGATCCGTCTAATATATATATATATATATTTGTTTATTAAATTTTTTAATTTTAATTTTCTATTTAATAAGTTGTTAAATTTTTAATTTTATATTTAATAGAGTTAAAATTTGTAAGAGACCAAAATAACAAATAAATAAAAAGATTAAGAACTAAGATATCGTTTTTAACTAAAGATGTCTACAGAGCAAGGATTTGGACAGAGATGGAGGAGTGGACGGGAACGGAGAATACAATCTCTGTCATCGGTCCCATTTAGTTAACGGGTAAAAATCTCTTTGCACTCCCTTTTCTTTCTTTATTTCAATGAGGATTCGAGTTTCGGTAGGACCTCCAGTAAAAAAAATTCTCTTATTTTCTATTTTACTACCAATTGTCGGGTAGGCGGTCGAGTTTCAAAATGTTTCAAAATGATAATATATTTTATATTAAAGAATCTCCCAAATGACATATGAAAAGAGAAAAAAATCTTGCTTTTTTTCTTAAAAA